AAGCATCTTTCAGATCAAAGCGATCAAAAGGGTACTCACTTCAAGGCAGATTTGTGGACCTTGGCAATGCCGGCGGAAAGGGCAAATTCCATCTCAAATCCGCACAAGCTGTTAGGTTCAAGTCATGTCGAAAAAAAGGAACCGCTTGCAGGTAACAACCGAGGCTGCCGAGGCTATGTGCATATATACACATATTTCTGAAAGGCAATTTTCCTATTTTCTTGTTTTTACCCTCCTGGTCTGCGGCAGATTTTGTGGTCTTTGCTTTCTTGGCATTGTTGTTGCAGGTTTTGTGGCTTTTGTCTTCTTGGTTTCTTGGTCGTTTTGCTTCTGGGATTTGTAGGCTATTTGGCCGCTTGGTTTCGTCTTTTTCACATGCCAGTGCCCTCATTCATGAAGACATATCGCTCATCTGGATCGCAGTTATTGGTTTCTTGTTTTTTTCTTTAGCTTCTTTGGCTGATGTTGTTGTTTTATGGAAGTGATGGTTTGATTGACTAGTGTGGTTTTATGGGGTGTTTACTTTAAAGTTTCAAATATAAAAATGCTCGGGAATGCAGGTAAAAACCGCCGCAGACCCAAAAACAAACAAGTCCAACAAAAGACCATCAATGTGTTTCTTGCCCTTTTGGACTTGTATGAGCAACAAAGACAAAAACATGTTGCAAAGATCTAACTTCCAACAATCATCAGCCAGAACAATTTCAATAGCCCAGGAAAACAACAGCAGCAACATGCGCCCGAACGCCATGTGAGGGCAGCTCCAGCGCCAATGAAAGTCTCAACTGTCAAACGATGCAAGTACTGCGCAAATAAAGATTGGGAAACAGGTTAAAAGAAAAACAAAACACATGCATAACCATCTCGAACATCAAACAACAAGAGCAGGAACCTTAGCCCAAATTGCTGCAAATACTCAGAACATTTTTCGCCATCAAAGTGCTGCAATACGAACCCAATCAGAAATTCAATCTTTAACGAGCTGCAAGAACTGGGTTTTAAGAAAACACAAGAAACATCAACAGAAAAAACATGAAATTCATGCAAGAAAATGTCAAGAGAAAGAGAAAACAATGCTCAAACAATATACAGATACATTTATTTTTTGGGAAGCGCTGCGCTTTACCCTCCAACGCCTCTCTGCCGCGCCACGAAATCTCCGCAAAAACTGTAAAGCAAAAACTGCTGCAAATAGCATGGACATGAGAGATTCAAGCTCGTAATTATGGGTTCCGAAGCTTGCTAATGTGGTTTCTTGTTTTCTTAGGTTCTTGAGTTTGACGTTGTCTTGTGGCTTCACTGTGCCTTCGCTGTGGTCATTATGGTTTTTCGGATTTGGTTTCGCCGTGGGTTGTTGGTTTCTTCCGCAGCAATATCCACTCCGGCCAACAGAATCACAACACCATGACAGCAATAGTGAGTGAAAAGCAGAAGGGCGGCAGCGGCCAGCAGCAAGAAGAAGAAGAAAACAAAGACGAACAACAAGAACAAGAACAAGACAAAGAATAATCAAGAACGAGTAACAAGAGGAAAAACAACAAAATATAGAAGGAACAAATGGCAAAACCAGGTAAAACAAACAGCATCACAGGAACGCAACCCCACCCTGCTGCACCGCTACATCAGCACGTCCAAATTCCGAAGTACTGTCACAAAATCACTAGGCTATTCTATGGGTGAAAACGCTGCAAATACCGTGCGGACAGAAACTCAATCAAACTTATCTGTGCGGCAGTTAGTGTGCCAACAGTAGGCAAAGGGCAGGCAAAACTAAAGGAAACAATGCAACAACATAAGCGCTAATATCCAACATCAAACGACGAAACAAGAAACAAAAATGTTCTCCGAGGGTGCTGCAAACACTACAGTAGCATTAGAAAACGCGCAATACAAAACTAATTCCAGAACACCGCAACGACCTTAAAGAGCAAATACATGGTTTTAGTGTAAAAATGCTGCAGATACAACGCTACTGTATTGGATTCTAGGTCGAAAATGCTGCAAATAGCTTTGCAATAAAAACATCAGCTTAAAAGCCGCTCCTTGCATGTTTCAACCTGCTAGTTAGAAAATTTAGCAAATGCTGCAAACACAAGGAAAAATTCCCCAGACTGGAAAACAAAAAATCCACCCCAAAAAGTCCTCGCCCACTATTCTGTGATGGATTATATAATAAACCTCTACGCTGTTTAGGGATGTTTAGGGGTACCATTGAAGTATCATGTTCTAACACATTACATGGAGGGTGCACCAACATGCACCAACAATGAATAAACCATGGTTTCTTAGTCCGGCTTTGAGATTGCATGTGCACCAGAAATATCAAATGTGGGCCTCACACATCCAATGCACAATTTTCACCCATTGTCAAGGACTGACCCCGACAAGAAACAAATGAACAATGATGAACAATGATGAAACATGATGAAACATGATGGACAAGGATGAACATCCTACAGTAAGCTCCCCAGAAACATAGAAGAAATATGCCCCTTACGCTGCTCAAGGCTGTTTAATTTCATGTTGATCTTGTGGGGACAGCATGACCGAGCTGGCGCCTTGCGAAGCTTCTGCCACTCGGACCACACACGCAATTTCTTTTTGCCCCAACTGGCAGCAATGCCAGATACAAAGCGGAATCCCGCTTTCTTGTAACACTTTAGCGCCCGATCCTTGGTTTCTGTCAACGAACACCCAATGGTTGATCGCTATTCCTGGAATTGAAACATATCCAAACCAAAAAAGGAAAGGGGGCATATCCTCAGCGCAAAAACTATCTCAAGATGATCCTACCAGAAGATGTCCGCAAAAGTGTGACACCTACAGTCTAATCACAATGGTTTGGTGGTTGGGCCGTCCCACCCGTTAGGCCCAAGCAATCTGGTCAAAAGGACGTTTGCTCATCCCCAGTTATTCCCCTCAGAAGGGATAAACAAAAGTTCAACCAGATCCTCCTGGCGAAACAAAGGGAAAAATGATAAACTTTAAGCCACTGTGTTTCTCCAACCAAGCCGGGTCACATTTGCTTTCAGCACGCTGAGAGACGTGTGCCGACATTTCCAGCCAATGCCTTGGGGCGACAACGAGAAAATGGTTCCTGTAACATGGGTGAACCTTGAAGCTAGGATCGATGCCTAACAAACAAGGTGGAACCACTTCATGCCCAGCTGCTCGCTATCTTTTGGATTGTAGAATCTCTATGACCCGATATGACTCTATGACTTCAATTACCTGAGTGGCTGATGGGCCTGCAAGGGGAAAAACAGTCTAAGATGCGGCAACTTGCGGCACACTGACACGCGAAAATTCCAGGGAAATTCGACCCTGGGATTTCCAAACCCATCAGTCGTTGAATTGCCGGATTTGAAAGCACAAAAACCACTGGTGGGCCAGGTGACATCTCTCCAAAAGCAACCAGAACTGGATTGATTCTGAGTTGCGAGGCTGAAACTAAATTTCAAGTCTCGAAGGTGATGCCTAATCTAGATGTCTTTGAGTTGAAAGGCTGGGTCCAAAAAAAGTAATCGTCTCTTCGCTAGCGTTAGCAGGAGAACAAGAAAAAACACAACCAGCATGGTTTCCATGGTTCAAATCATGAACCATGGTTCAGATCATGAGCCATGACGCACCCCTACAACGTATATATATATATATATATATATATCAGTTTTTGGACCGCCGCAGCCAAGCATCTCTCGCTGTGCTGTTCTGCAGCATCAATTAGCATTCCGCCAAGACTTTGGCCCATGTGCTCCTCGTCAACCTTGGCACGAGCAACTGGTTGGGCCACTCAGGGTCATCAAAGTCCGCCGATCTTAGCCAACCGCAAGGGGGAACACGCCAGAGAAGAGATTACAAGCAGCGAGCGCCGGCGAACAGTTTGAGAGAAGGAGAAGAAGAAGGAAGAAGAAGAAGAAGAGGAGGAGAAGAAGAAGAAGAAGAAAACAAGGTGGGCCAGAGAACCCAAAAGCATGACGGCACACAGCACGCCTTTTTTTGAAAATTTTGTGGTGTGGGCAGCTGTGCTCTGCACGAAATCGACGTAAGATCTTTACTGAAACATCGTGCGCACTGATGGCATCAGGGGCCACAATTCACCACAGCATGCTGTGTCAGCTATGTCTACATTCTTATAGTCGCTATTATTTCTGCTGATGCAATTAACTCTATATCCCATCTTTCTAGTCGCACCTATTTCTGCGTTCTCGTTTAGTTTGCTTCGCCGCAGAGGGAGCGAGGACGAAGCGTGGACGGACAGAACACCGTGCGAAATGAAAACTAAACGACGGAGGGAGTTGACCAAAAGAGCATGAAAACGAAGATATGAAGGTGACAGGTGGTGAATGATCATGAAAAATGAGACATGATGAAAGATGGGTAATGATTTCTCTGTACAAAAGCTTCTTTGCATAAAAGCTTCTGTATGTAAAAGCTTCTGTGGGTAAAAACTTTTCTGTGTAAAGGTTTTGGTGTGAAAGCTTCTGTGTGTGTGTGTAAAAGCTTCTGTGTAAAACGTCCTCTGTGTGTAAAAGTTTCTGTTTGTGAAAGTTTCTTTGCGTCTAAAAGCTCCTCTGTGTTAAGGTGTTGTTTGTGTAAAGCTTCTGTGTGCAAAAGCTTCTCTGTGTAAAAGACTTCTCTGTGTCAAAGCCTCTGAGTGTACAAGCTTCTCTGTGTAAAAGTTCCTCTGTGTAAAAGCTCCTCTGTGAAAAAGCTGCTCTGTGTAAAAGGCTTCTCTGTGTAAAAGCCTCTGTGTGTGCAAGCTTCTCTGTGTCAAGACTTCTTTGTGTAAAGATTTCTCTGTGTAAAAACTACTCTGTGTAAAAACTTCTGTGTGTAAAAGCTTTCCTGTGTAAACGCCTCCGTGTGTAAAGGCTCCTCTGTGTAGACCCGTCTGTGTGTAAAAGTTCCTTTGTGTAAAGGTTTTTTTTGTGTAAAAGCTTCTGTGTGTAAAAGTTTCTGCGTGTAAAAGGTTCTGTGTGTAAACGTTTCTGTGTAAAAGCTTCTGTGTATTAAAAAACCTTATGTAAAAGCTTCTGTGTAAAAAAGCTCCCCTGTGTGTACAAGCTTCGCTGCGTAAAAGCTGCTCTATGTAAAAGTTCCGTGCGCCGTAAAGTTGTCTGTTGTAAAACCTCCTGTGTGTGAACGCCTTTGTGTGTACAAGATTCTGTGTGCAAAAGCTCCTCTGTGTAAAGACTTCTCTGTGTAAACGCGTCTGTGCGTAAAGGCTCCTCTGTGTAAAGATTTCTCTGTGTAAACGCGTCTGTGCCTGAAAGCCTCTCTGTGTAATCTGTGTAAGACTTCGCTGTGTAAAAGCTAGTTTGTGCAAAAGGTTCTGTGCGTAAAAGGCTTCTGTGTGCAAAAACTCCTCTGTGTAAAGACTTATCTGTGCAAACCCGTCTGTGCGTAAAAGCTCCTCTGTGTAAGGCTTCTCGGTGAAAGAAGTTTCTGTGTAAAAGCTTCTGTGTGTAAAAGCTTTCCTGTGTAAAAGTTTCCTTGTGCAAAAGCCTCTGCGTGTAAAAACTTCTCTGTGTAAAGGCTTTTGTGAAAACGCTTCTGTGTGTAAAAGCTGCTCTGTGTAAAAGTTTCAGTGCGCCGTAAATGCTTCTGTGTGTAAAACTTCCTGTGTGTAAACGCGTCTGTGTGTAAAAGTTTCTGTGTGTAAAACTCCTTTTTGTAACTCTGTGTAAAGACTTCTCTGTGTAAAAGCAACTCTGCGTAACAGCTTCTGTGTGTAAAGGCATCTGTGTGTAAACGCATCCGTGTGTAAACACTCCTGTGTAAACGCGTCTGTGTGTAAAAGCTTCTGTGTAAACGCTTTTTTGCGTAAAAACTTCCGTGTGTAAGAGCTTCTCTGTGTAAAGGCTTTCCCGTGTAAAAGCATCTGTGCTTAAAAGCTTCCATGTTTAAAGCCCCTCTGTGTGTAAACGTTTCTGTGTGTAAAAGCTTCTATGTGTAAAAGTTTCTTTGTGTAAAAGCGTCTGTGTGTAAAAGCTCCTCTGTGTGTGCAAGCTTCTCTGTGTAAAAGCTCCTCTGTGTAAAGACTTCTCTGTGTCAAAGCCTCTGCGTGTACAAGCTTTTCCGTAGCTTCTCTGTGTGAAAGCCTCTGTGTGTGTGTGTGCAAGCTTCTCTGTGTCAATACCACTCTGTATAAAGACTTCTCTGTGTAAAAACTTCTGTGTGTAAAACCATTCCTGCGTAAAAGTTTCTCTGTGTAAAAGATTCTGTGTGTAAAGTCCTCCCTGTCTACACGCTTCTCTGTGTAAAAGATCCTCCGTGTAAAGCTCCTCTGTGTAAATCTCCTCTGTGTAAAAACTGCTCTGTGTAAAACCCGTGCCAACAGCTCCGCATTTTCAGTGCCGCTTCCTCCCAGCAGAGCTCTTCCCAAGCTATTTTCCCACCTGTCCGTTCACGCTGATGCATATCCTGTGCTTGGGTTATCGTTTAGTTTGCTTCGCTGCAAAGGGAGCGAAAACCAAGCATCGACGGACAGAACGCCGAGCAAAATGAAAACGCCTCCAGCAGAGAACTTTTTCCCATGCATGTCCGGCATGTCCCTTTGCCCAGCGTTTAGACACCGTTTGAGAAGTCTTTGGCGCCAGTTTTTGGGGACAATCGTGTTGATGCTGTTGATGGAATTTGTCCTGAAAAATCCGTGCCAACAGCTCTGCTCTTTTAGTCTCGCTCCCTGCCAACGAAGCTATGCATGTCCCATGGGCCAGGGTTTGGAAACTTTGGCAGGTCTTGGGCGCACAGTTTTTCGTAACAATCGTATTGATGAAATTTGTCCTGAAAAACCCGTGCCAACAGCAGTGCATTTTTAGTGTCGCTCCCTGCCAGCGAAGCTATGCATGCTGTCCCATCGCCCAACGTTTGCATACCGCATGAAATAAAGTCTTGGGCGCACAGTTTTTCGGGACAATCGCATTGATGGAATTTGTCTTGAAAACCCGTGCCAACAGCTCTGCTTCTCAGTATATGTCGCTTCCTCCCAACCGAGCTCTCCCCAAGCCATTTCCCACGATCTACTTTCCGTCCACCCTCTCATCGCTTCCGTATCGCTCCTTCCCAACGGAGCTCTCCTCATGCTATTTCCCACGGTCACCTTGTCGTCGCTTCCGTACCGCTCCTTACCAACGGAGCTCTCCCCCCATTCCCACGGTTTCCCCTCCGTCCACCCTATCGTCGCTTCCATCTGGCTCCTTCCTGCTATAGCGGAGCTCTCCCCATGCTATTTCACACGCTTTCCCGGCATTTAACCTTGTCGTCGCTTCCGTACCGCTCCTTCCCCACGGAGCTCTCCCCAAGCTATTTCCCACGGTTTCCCTTCCGTCCACCCTGTCGTCGCTTCCATCTCGTTGTTTCTTCCCAACGGAGCTCTCCCCAAGCCATTCCTCACGATTTCCTCTCCGTCCACCCTATCGTCGCTTCCATCTGGCTCCTTCCCAACGGAGCTCTCCCCATTCTATTTCCCACGGTTTCCCGTCCGTCGACCTCGTCGTCGCTTCCGCACCGCTCCTTCCCAACGGAGCTCTGCAGGCCCAAGCTATTTCCCACGGCTTCCCTTCCGTCCACCCTGTCCTCGCTTCCCTCGGGTCCTTCCCGACGGAACTCTCCCCAAGCTATTTCGAACCCACGGTTTCCCCTCCGTCCACCTTGTCGTCGCTTCCATCTCGCTCCTTCCCCACGGATTTCTCGCCAAGCTATTTCTTACGGTTTCCTTTCCGTCCACCCTCTCATCGCTTCCGTATCGCTCCTTCCCAACGCGGAGCTCTCGCCAAGCTTTTTCCCACGCTTTCCCTTCCGTCCACCCTGTCGTCGCTTCCATCTCACTCCTTCCCCACGGCACGGAGCTCTCCCCATGCTATTTCCCACGGTTCCCCTCCGTCCACCTTGTCGTCGCTTCCGTATCGCTTCTTCCCAACAGAGCTCTCCCCAAGCTATTCCCCACGGTTTCCCCTCCCTCCACATATATGTTCGCTTCCGTATCGCTCCTTCCCAACGGAACTCTCCCCTATTTCCCCTTCCCTCTCCCCTGCCGTCGCTTCCGTTGGGAAGGAGCGATCCGGAAGTGATGACAAGGTGGACGGACGGGAAACCGTGGGAAATAGCATAGGGAGAGAAGGAGCGATAAGGAAGCGACGACAAGGTGGACGGAAAGGAAATCTCGTGGGAAATAGCTTCGGGAGAGCTCCGTTGGGAAGGGGCGATACGGAAGCGACGACAGGGTGGATGGAAGGGAAACGGTGGGAAATAACACGGGGAGAGCTCCGTTGGGAAGGAGCGAAATGGAACCGTGGGAAATAGCTTGGGGAGAGCTCCGCGGGGAAGGAGCGAGATGGAAGCGACGATAGGGTGGACGGAGGGGAAACCGTGGGAAATAGCTTGGGGAGAGCTCCGGTGGGAAGGAGCGAGATGGAGGTGGACGGGGGGGAAGCCATGGGAAATAGCTTGGGGAGAGCTCAGTGGGGAAGGAGCGAGATGGAAGCGACGACAGGGGGGACAGAAGGGAAACCGTGGGAAATAGCACGGGGAGAGCTTCCTCTCCGTCCACCCAGTCGTCGGTTCCATCCGTTCCCTCCCCACGGACCTCTCCCCAAGCTATTTCCCACGGTTTCCCCTCTGTCCACCCTCTCGTCACTTCCGTATCGCTCCCTCGCGGCAAGTGCAACTAAACGAGAACCCAAGCATTGAAGATGCTTTTGGGAAAAGAAGAAGAAAAAGAGAGGGAGAAGAGCTTGCGGGTCTCCTGCTATGCAGGATTGCAGCTAAACGCTTGTAAAAACTGCGACAAAGGTGGTTTTTGAGCATATGGTGCACTCTTGTGTGTGTGTGTGGGGTTGGTGGTTGCTAAACTCATTGCAATGGCGGGCATGACTCTTTCATGTCGTTGATTTCATGCCATTTCACTGGCAACTGAAACTGGCTCATTCGTTGATGCACCTCACAACCTTGATCTCTCATTGTTTCTGCATCCCACAAACATTCCTATAAGCCAATGATGGTCTTCTAGTCATTGTTTCAGAAATAACGCCCCAGTACGAAAGGGCACTATCCGGTATCTCAAAAAAGGCGCGGGCACAACAAGGAATGTTTGAAACCAACAAGGCAAAAAGTGACATTTGAAAAACCAAACTGCCTTCACATGCGCGATGCTTAGCTCTTGTTCTTCGGAAGAATAGGCCGCCTTAGAAAGCAGCATGAACAGATTGGAGAAATCAAGCGACAAACATGACACTATACCTCTCTCTCTCCATCGCCATCTCAGGAGATCATGACACTATATCAAATCTCCCCAATTATTTCAAAACTGGTTGTGAGTTTGGGAATCTTACAACATCACCTCTGGCTATTGGAGTTGGTCCCCGAAACGCAAAGATGTGAGTGATGTTCAATTTCAACATTATTCACCACAAGATCGAATACATTTGAATACAACATCTATGGTAGGCAGAGAAAACATCAGAAAACAACATCAGCACGGGCCCGTCCAAGCGACATGCACATACCCCGCAATACACCCGGTCCCCGTCTGCACCAAAGGCAAGGTGAATTGCGAGCGGTTGTTGCCAGTCACCACGTCCTGGGCGGCAGAGTTTTACCAATGAAGGGCCCAAACGACTTCAAAGGCACTTTTGGGTTTTGTCTGGAGCATGTTCCTTGCATTCGTGCTGGACTTGCCTCACATGTATAGCTGAGGAACTTGCTATAAAATATCTATGAAGGACTCAAATCTCCAAAATTATTGGCAGGAGCACACATGTACAACCGATGTGGATGGGCGGATGGATGACTGTTTTGGATTTCCGGACGCACGCGTGCATCAATGCGTCTCTACACATGTATATATGCGAAGATGAAAGTATATAAAATGACAAACTGAGTAATTTGAATATTATATGTATATCTACATGACTCTACATGCTCACCGTTTAATATGTGCATATAGGCAAATATTGCTATATCGCGTATATCAATACAGAAAGATGGATGGATAGATACACAGAAAGATAGGTATACAAACAGAAACAAAAAGCAAGTAGACACAAGTAAATACGAGCAGATAAAAATACCAAGCAAATACGAGCAAATTAATTGTTTTAAAATATATGTATGTGATATATCAAAAATAGATACACATTATCGAAGGAAGTTGAGAAGTCAAACTTCCGACAATACGGACAGATGAAAAAGCAGACGTGGAAAAAAGTCAGAGAAGAGAAGAAGAAAGAAGATCAGAAAAAGAGAAAGAGTCAGCAGAAAGAAGATGCCGGTGCGCGAAAAGGTAGAAAAGTCGCGAGTCACTGAATACTGTGTTTTTTTCCCGAGAGCGTCTGAGAGAAGGGTACTTCTAATAGTGGGGGTCTGTCAAATATTTTCACATCTTCACATCTTCTCATCCTCACATCTTCACATCTTCTCATCTTCACATCTTCACATCTTCTCTTCTTCACATCCTCACATCTTCACATCTTCTCATCTTTTCATCTTCAGATCTTCTCATCTTCTCATCTTCACATCTTCACATCTTCACATCTTCTCATCTTCACATCACATCTTCACATCTTCACATCTTCACATCTTCACATCTTCTCATCTTCATCTTCACATCCTCACATCTTCACATTCTCTATTGCCTTCTTCATCTTCTCATCTTCACATCTTCTCATCTTCACATCACATCTTCACATCCTCACATCTTCACATTCTCTCTTGCTCTCTTGCCCTCTTGCTCTCTTGCCACCTTGCTCTCTCCTTCTTTTCTATTTCTCTCTTAAGGCGCGGGGAAGTGCCAACGAGACGGCACGAAACGCAACCATTTCGCACGAAATGAGGTTCGATCGCCAAAAACAAAGTTGTGATTTACAACGCGTCCGGCGCAACGCTTTCGCACGCAATGAAATTCGATCGCCAAAAACTGATGAAAAGTTGCGATTTGCAAAGCGTCCGGCGCAACCCTTTCGCACGAAATGAGGTTCGATCGCCAAAAACTGATGAAAAGTTGCGATTTGCAAAGCGTCCGGCGCAACCCTGTCGCACGAAATGAGGTTCGATCGCCAAAAACTGCGGTAAAGTTGCGATTTGCAAAGCGTCCGGCGCAACCCTTTCGCACGAAATGAAGTTCGATCGCCAAAAACTGATGAAAAGTTGCGATTTGTAAAGCGTCCGGCGCAACGCCTTCGCACGAAATGAGGTTCAATTGCCAAAAAAAGAAGTAAAGTTGTGATTTGCAACGCGTCCAGCGCAACCCTTTCGCACGCAATGAGGTTCGATCGCCAAAAACTGCGGTAAAGTTGCGATTTGCAACGCGTCCGGCGCAACCTTTTCGCATGAAATGAGGTTCGACCGCCAAAAACTGAGGTAAAGTTGCGATTTGCAAAGCGTCTGGCGCAACCCTTTCGCACGAAATGAGGTTTGATCGCCAAAAACGATGGTAAAATTGCGATTTCACGCATCCTTTATAGCAACGCTTCGAACTCTTCTGTGTGTAAAAGCTTCTGTGTGTCAAAGTGTTCGTGTGTAAAAGCTTCTGCATGTAGAAGTGTATGTGTGTAAAAGTGTCTGTGTATAAAAGCTTCTGTGTGTAAAAGTGTATGTGTGTAAAAGTCTCTGTGTGTAAAAGCTTCTGTGTGTCAAAGCGTCTGTGTGTAAAAGGGTCTGCGTGTAAAAGCTTCTGTGTGTAAAAGCTTCTGTGTGTAAAAGTCTCTGTGTGTAAAAGCTTCTGTGTGTAAAAGTGTCTGTGTGTAAAAGTCTCTGCGTGTAAAAGCTTCTGTGTGTCAAAGCGTCTGTGTGTAAAAACGTCTGTGTGTAAAAGCTTCTACGTCTATGTGTGCGCGTGTCTGTGTGTGAAAGCGTCTATGTGTAAAAGCGTCTGTGTGTAAAAGCGTCTGTGTGTAAAAGTTTCTGTGTGTGAAAGCTCCTATGTGCAAAAGCTTCTGTGTGCAAAAGCTTCTGTGTGTGAAAGCTTCTGTGTGTAAAAGTCTCTGTGTGTGAGAGTGTTTGTGTGTAAAAGCGTCTGTATGTAAAAGGGTCTGCGCGTAAAGGCTTCTGTGTGTAAAAGCTTCTGTTTGTAAAAGTCTCTGTGTGTAAATGCGTCTGCGTGTAAAAGCTTCTGTGTGTAAAAGCATCTGTGTGTAAAAGCTCCTGTGTGTAGAAGCGTCTATGTGTAAAAAGCGTCTGTGTGTAAAAGCGTTTGTGTGTAAAAGCTTCTGTGTGTAAAAGTGTCTGTGTATAAAAGCTTCTGTGTGTAAAAGTGTATGTGTGTAAAAGTCTCTCTGTGTAAAAACTTCTGTGTGTAAAAGCGTCTGTATGTAAAAGGGTCTGCGTGTAAAAGCTTCTGTGTGTAAAAGCTTCTGTGTGTAAAAGTCTCTGTGTGTAAATGCGTCCGCGTGTAAAAGCTTCTGTGTGTAAAAGCTTCTGCGTGTAAAAGCTCGTGTGTGTAGAAGCGTCTGTGTATGTCTGTGTCTAAAAAGCGTCTGTGTGTAAAAAGCGTCTGTGTGTAAAAGCTTCTGTGTGTAAAAGCGTCTGTGTGTAAAAGCTCCTGTGTGTAAAAGCTTCTGTGTGTAAAAGCTTCTGTGTGTAAAAGCTTCTGTGTGTAAAAGCTTTTGTGTGTAAAAGCGTCTGTGTGTAAAAGTCTCTGTGTGTGAAAGTGTTTGTGTGTAAAAGTCTCTGTGTGTAAATGCATCTGCGTGTAAAAGCGTCTGCAAAAGCTCCTGTGTGTAGAAGCGTCTGTGTGTAAAAAGCGTCTGTGTGTAAATGCGTCTGTGTGTAAAAGCTTCTGTGTAAAAGTGTCTGTGTGTGTGTAAAGGCGTCTGTGTGTAAAAGTCTCTGTGTCTGAAAGTGTTTGTGTGTAAACGCGTCTGTGTGTAAAAGTGTCTGTGTGTAAAAGCGCCTGTGTGTAAAAGCTTCTGTGTGTCAAAGTGTTCGTATGTAAAAGTGTCTGTGTGTAAAAGCTTCTGTGTGTAAAAGCTTCTGTGTGTAAAAGTGTCTGTGTGTAAAAGCGTCTCTGTCTAAATATATGTGTGTGTGTAAAAGGTTCTGTGTGTAAAAGTGTCTGTGTGTAAATGCGTCTGCGTGTAAAAGCTTCTGTGTGTAAAAGCGTCTGTGTGTAAAAGCTCCTGTGTGTAGAAGCGTCTATGTGTAAAAAGCGTCTGTGTGTAAAAGCGTTTGTGTGAAAAAGCTTCTGTGTGTAAAAGTGTCTGTGTATAAAAGCTTCCGTGTGTAAAAGTGTATGTGTGTAAAAGTCTCTCTGTGTAAAAACTTCTGTGTGTAAAAGCGTCTGTATGTAAAAGGGTCTGCGTGTAAAAGCTTCTGTGTGTAAAAGCTTCTGTGCGTAAAAGTCTCTGTGTGTAAATGCGTCTGCGTGTAAAATCCTCTGTGTGTAAAAGCTTCTGTGTGTAAAAGCTCGTGTGTGTAGAAGCGTCTGTGTGTAAAAAAGCGTCTGTGTGTAAAAGCGTAAAGTGTTTGTGTGTAAAGGTCTCTGTGTGAAAAAGTCTGTGTAAAAGCGTCTGTGTGTGAAAGTGTTTGTGTGTAAAAGCGTCTGTGTAAAAGCGTTTGTGTGTAAAAGCGTCTGTGTGTAAAAGCGTCTATGTGTAAAAGTGTCTGTGTAAAAGCGTCTGAAAAAAAAGGTCTGTGTGTGAAAAAACTATACGAAGGATACGATGCAAACTATTGTCTTGTACTTGCAAAATATTGTACTCTTCTCGTCTGCTTATAATAGATCTTTAATATATTGTCTTGAAATATAGTGTCTCAACATTAACAACAGAAGACCCTGCTCCTCTACGCTCTCGGGCCATCCGTCGTCTAGTTCTATGTTTTGTGGAAAAGGAGGCTCGCTAAAGTGGCGGGTGCGGAGCCATCTGGCCAGATGAGAGATGAAAAATTGCACGCCGTTGTGGCGAAAAACTGTCGGGTTCGGAGCACTTTTGGAAATTGAGATGTTGAAAAATGCACGCCGTTGTGGCGAAACACATGTCGAAGTGAAAAAGTGCAAAAACTGACGGCCTCAGCTTTTGGAAGTTGAGTTGTTGAAAAAGTGCACGCCATTGTGGAACAAAGCAAATTTCGAAGTCAAAATGCGCCTCAGTCTCGGAGCTCGTTTGGAAGTTGGGATGTTGAAAAAGTGCACGCCGCTGTGGCGCAAAGCACATGTCGAATATTGTCGAATCATGTCGAAGTCAAAATAGTAAAAGCACCACATGCACCGACCAGTTTTGGACGTTGAAGCGTTTTTCGTGGCAGGCGCAAGGGATTCTGCACCTTGCCAAAAGTGAGCAGAACGTGAGGGTTTTGTAGCAGCTTCAAAAACGTTGGCGGCGTGGGACCTTTGAAGAGTCTCTGATAGGCTCTGCAAAGATGCATCTCGCATGGCAGACGCAGTACAAGAGACACATGAGTCAGAAATGTTCTGCGCTGATTTCCTGGGAATGGTTGTATTTTGCCGAATCAGATCTTGAGGTTTGCTTGGGTGGTTTTGCGTGACAGGCGCGGCACTTCGTATCACTTGGCATCACTTTTTCGTGGCAGGCGCATTACTTTAAACACTTGGAGTGGCAAAATTGCAAAAACACATCGGTACGAGGCTGTCAGCTTTGCACTCAACTTTCCATTGTTGAAGGAGGTCTCGCAGAATAACTGCGTTTTAGATGTTGTCAACTTCGCAAAGTGGGAAAGTCTCGCTGAATAGCCTCGTTTTGGATGTTGTCAACTTCGAAAATTGACGAAGTCTGGCAGAATTGCTTCGTTTTTAACGTTGTCAAGTTCAAAAATTGAGGACGTCTCGCAGCATGGCTGCGTTTTTTGATGGTCTCAAGTTCAACACTTGAGGACGTCTTGCAGAATAGCTTCGTTTTCAAGCTTGCAGATAGAGAAACAGATAGATCGACAGAGAGGTGGATAGATAAACAAACAGATAGATAGACAGACAGAGAGATAAATAGATAGACAAACAACTACACCTACAACTATAATTACCGCTAAACTACAATACTCTAAAACTACCCTTACAACAGCAACTACACTACAACTAACACTACGAGTACAACTACAACTACAGCTATGCTGCAACTAACACTACTATTACAAATCGAACTTCAGCTACAAGTACAAGCTACCAGTACACTACAGCTAGAGCTAGAGCTACAGCTACAACTACGCTACAACGACAAGTTCCAGCACAAGTACAAGTACAATTTCAACTTGAACTGCGCTACAGCAACAGCTACAACTACAACTACCACAACGCTACAACAACTACTACAGCCACAGCTACAAGTACAACTCCAACTGCACTACCTACAGCTACAACTACAACTACAACTACCACTACACTACAGCTACAACGACTACAACTACTGCTACTGCTACTGCTACTGCTGCTACTGCTACTGCTGCTACTACTACTGCTGCTGCTGCTGCTACTGCTGCTGCTACTGCTGCTGCTACTGCTGCTGCTGCTACTGCTACTGCTACCACTACACACTACTGTACATTCAGGAGTTGTGGGTGGGGTGACCACTGCAACCACTGGAAAGACCACAACTCCAGCCACCTCTCGGTCCATCAGTGGATTCGCCCTGTCGTCCATGCATCACAAAAATTCACCTCTCCTATAGTTGTCTATATTTGAAACTTCCGCCACCGCTTTGCGCGGTACTTCTGGTAAACACAAAATCCTGCGCTTGCTGACGAAAGCTCAATTCGTTGACGTTGACCTCTTTTTTGTTCACGCTGGTGACAGCTGTAAATACCCCTGCTCCAGATCACTATGACCCTTAAACATCCTTAAGCGCCCTTTTGATTTTCATCCCTTTCGGGATCAGTCAGTCAGAACCATGCCGCGAACGTTTCGTCCCAGCCTTGATGCCTTCGACTGCATTGCCGGCGTCTGTGATGACGCCCAGGTGCTGGCACCAGTCCTGGAAAGCTGGGCCATGTTGGTTGATGGATGATGGTTGGTGGGCTTCTTGGGTGTGCTGGCTACCATCCAAATGCACAGGTTCCTCTAAATTTCCACTCACAATTACTTTACTTCGTGTGATCCCCACCATGACATTTATACATTTTGTTACTGGCAAATCTTCTGGCATTCTATCTGACATATCTTCTGGCATTCTATCTGGCATATCTTCTGGCATTCTACCTGGCATATTTTCTGGCATATGTTCTGGCATATCTTCTGGCATTCTATCTGGCATATCTTCTGGCATATCTTCTGACATCCTATCTGGCATTCTATCTGGCAAATCTTCTGGCATTCTATCTGGCAAACATTCTGGCACTTTATCTGGCATACCTTCTGGCATTCTATCTGGCATATCTTCTGGCATTATATCTGGCATATCTTCTGATATTTTATCTGGCATATCTTCTGGCATTCTATCTGACATGCTATCTGGCGTTCTATCTGGCATATCTTCTGGCATTCTATCTGACATATCTTCTGGCATTCTATCTGGCATATCTTCTGGCATTCTACCTGGCATATTTTCTGGCATATGTTCTGGCATATCTTCTGGCATTCCATCTGGCATTCTATCTGGCATATCTTCTGGCATATTATCTGGCAAATCTTCTGGCATTCTATCTGGCAAACATTCTGGCACTTTATCTGGCATATCTTCTGGCATTCTATCTGACATTCTATCTGGCATCTCTTCTTGCATTCTATCTGGCCGTTGAAGTCCAGCGGTGCACACTGAGCTGGGCAGGTCCCAGGTTGAGGTCCAGCGGTGCACACTGCGCTGGGAAGGTCCCAGGTTGAGGTCCAGCGGTGCACACTGAGCTGGGAAGGTCCCAGGTTGAGGTCCAGCGGTGCACACTGAGCTGGGCAGGTCCCAGGTTGAGGTCCAACGGTGCACACTGAGCTGGGAAGGTCCCAGGTTGAGGTCCAGCGGTGCACATTGAGCTGGGAAGGTCCCAGGTTGAGGTCCAGCGGTGCACACTGAGCTGGGAAGTTGGCAAAGAGCTTGGCGAAGAGTTGGCAAGGCGGAAGTTGAGGTGGAAGTTGATGCAGACATGGTCGAGGCGAAACAGGCGGAGGAGAAGGAGGAGGAAGAGGAGGAGGAGGAAGAGGAGGAGGATAAGAACAGCTCTGATAAAATCTAACAACCCTCACCTGGCAAGTGGGGAAAAAAACAGCTGTGGGATATTCATCTGACACCGCAAGCTTCTTCACGTCCTCTGGCTTGAGATGTCTAAACCATGGCTCTTTGTTCATCATCCTTGGATGTGCGCATCAGCACCATTGCAAGTTTGGCCCCTACATGTCCAAATGTTTCAGCACCCTGTGTTCAGCTGCCCTGTTTGGTCTCCAATCGTTCTCAACCATGACTGCGTTGTTGGGTGCCGGAAACCCAAATTAGTTATTTGTTGTAAGCTGGAACCTGACCAATTACTGTATTGGTGTTCTCACACATATCTGGGGGCCCAACATTTGGCCAATGTAGAATTACACAGACATGACCCACGTCCAAATCGCTGGGCAAGAAGCAGGGCGTGGTCTGCTACGAAGTGTTTCTCCGATACTCGCAGTCTTGCTGCAGACTCTGCAGGGCACTTGCGGAGAACTACATATTCTCCAGTGTTGCCAGTGCTCTGCAGGCCGGTGCTCTTGACAGCGACAACATCCTCCGACTGGAACACGCAACGCATGGACGCATGAATCCATCAGTATGCATGTCGTGTGCGCATCAGTCCTGTAGATCTGTTCGTAATATATATATATATATATATCTGTGTAGAATATAAATATATACATATATATACATATATATATATATTATTTTTTACATTTATATATATATATCTATTTATATTTATATATATAGTACATATATATATATATATAAAGAGTACTAAACAGATATTTAAAATAAATATACTATGTATATATATATATACCTCCCCGTCCGAATTAGAGGGGGAGCTGAGCAGCCTCATTCCTAAACTACCGGTTCGCTAAAACCATCTAGAAAATGCCTTTGAATCTTCTAGAAAATGCCTCAACCATTCTTTTAAGGGGGGGGTACTCGGAGCCACTATCGGACACATTTTCTACAGCACAAATTCTCGAACTTTTTTGGTTTGTTTAATCAAAAAATCTAGAAAGTGACATATTTAAAGAAAAACCCGAACATTTTTTGTCATTTTTGTCTAATAAATGCCACGAAAATGAGGAGACAAAAAGCATGTCTAAAAATGTGTGGGATTATGTTCGGATTTTAAACTTTCAAAAATTCATTTTAAAAAATGGGACACGGATTGCATATCTAGAAAAATGCTGGGCTTAGTTTCAGAAATATACTTCTGGGATGTTATTTTAGAAAGTGGTTTGTGTATGTTTTTGTGTATATATATATGCATGTAAATATATAATATATATATACATATGTATGACATGTATTTATGTATACATAAAAAAATACGAAACAAGATCTTATGTCTAGAAATTATGTTGCAAAAAATGCAAATATATCAAATCTCACTTCTAGAAAATGTGATGGGTTGGATTCAACAGGATTTTTGACAATTCTTTTCTAGAAAAAAAAATGACCTGCGTTTTCTAGAAAATATGATTTTTAACATTTTTAATCCTAGAAAATGACTGAGCACTAGAAAATGGAATCTGATTCAACATGATGGATATGCTGCTATGCTTCTAGAAAATGAGGTGGTGAAAATTGTCACTTGAAGAAGGTCGTAGCGTTTTTGTCAGATGTATACCCTAGAAAATGAATGGGAAGAGGAAACAATCTCGAACCAAAAAATCGATCAAAAAAAAACCTCAAAATCAGATTTCTCTAGAAAATGAAAGGGCAGGCTGCCCCGTTTCCCAGAGGAAATTCGGACGGGGATTTATCAAAGGAAGTTGGGAAGCAATACTTCCCGGGCAGATAGAATTGTGAGACTTGACCTTGATAAAGGGTGTTGCGAGACTTTACACTACATAACAATACATCACAAAATTATTGATGAAGGGTGGTGTGAGACTTTACACTACATAACAATACATCACAAAAGAATTGACCTTGATGAAGGGTGGTGTGAGACTTTACACTACACAACAACATATCACAAAAGATTTGACCTTGATGAAGGGTGGTGTGCGACTTTACACTACACAACAACATATCACAAAAAAAATGACCTTGATGAAGGGTGGTATGCGACTTTACCACTACACAACAACATATCACAAAAAAAATGACCTTGATGAAGGGTGGTATGCGACTTTACACTACATAACAATACATCACAAAAGATTTGACCTTGATGAAGGGTGGTGTGCCACTTTACACTACATAACAACACATCACAAAAGAATTGACCTTGATAAAGGGTGATGTGCGACTTTAGACTACATAACAACACATCACAAAAGAATTGACCGTGATGAGGGTGGTGTGCGACTCTACACTACATAACAACACATCACAAAAGAATTGACCTTGATGAAGGGTGGTATGAGACTTTACACTACATAACAATACATCACAAAAGGATGCAAAATGCATTGTAATGGCTGCATGAATGTTGCATGGGGCTTGTGTTGGGGAGGAAGCCGGAGCACGAAACCTTGTATTTTTCCGTTAAAGTGGCTGCAGGCGGCGATGAAAAGTACCTCCTGTGTGCGGCAGGTGCGGCTGCGGTCGGTTTGCCTTTTTTTTTTGCCGCATTGTAACGGTGGCTTGAAGCTGCTTTGGTTCTGCTTGTGTGTGCGTAGTTTTAGGGTGTTTTGGAATCTGCCGTTGCAGATCGCATTGGAATGGCTGCATGATTGTTGTCACCTGGTGTTGTCATGTGCGTAGATACGTGCAGGTTTGCGACGTGATGCTGCGAAACGCAATGTAATGGCTGCGTCAAGGTTGCTTGGTGCCGCGGCTGCATGCGTAATACTATTGTCTTTTGCAGGTGAAGATCGTAAATCGTATTGGAGTGTGGCTGCATCCAGGCTGCGACAGTGATTTGCCAGCGGATTTTCGCAATTTTGGCGCTAGTAATAGTTTTCCTTTCGAAAATCCTTTTAGAAAGTGCTTCAAAATCGTCTTTTTTCTGCTTTGGCGTCGAGATCCGGTTTTGGAGCTGCAATTTCCGACGCCGTTGCGCGTAGTTCTATTGCGTTTTACAACTCAGTCTCTGCAGATCGCATTGTAGTGGCTGCGCCAAGGTTGCTTAGTGCTGCGGCTGCATCCGTAATACTATTGTCTTGTGCAGCTGGATCTCGTAAATCGTATTGGAGTGGCTGCATCAAGGCTGCGAGAGTGATTTGTCAGCAGATTTTCGCAATTTTGGCGCTAGCAATTTTCAATTTAAAAGTCCTTTTAAAAAGTGTTTCAAAATCTTTTTTTTTCCGCTTTGGCGTCGAGATCCGGTTTTGGAGCTGCAATTCGTGTTGTGATTATGTACAAGAAAGTTTCTCTGTGTAAAAACTTTTTTCTGTAAAAGCTTGCTTTGTGAAAAAGATTTTGTGTGTAAAAGCTCGCTGTGTGTAAAAGCTTCTCTGTGTGTAAAAGCGTCTCTGTGCAAAAGTTTCTGTGTGTGTAAGCGCTTGCCATGTGCAAAGCACTGTGTGTAAGTGTTCTGTTTGTAAACGCTTGCTGTGTGTGAAAGCTTGCTGTGTGTAAAAGCTTCTCTGTGTAAAAGCTTGCTGTGTGTAAAAGCTTCTCTGTGTGCAAAAGCTTTGTTTAAAAAGCTTGCTGTGTGTGTAAAGGCTTGCCATGTGTAAAAGCACTGTGTGTAAGTGTTCTGTGTGTAAACGCTTGCTGTGTGTGAAAGCTTGCTGTGTGTAAAAGCTTCTCTGTGTAAAAGCTTGTTGTGTGTAAAAGCTTCTGTGTGTAAAGCTTGTCGGTTTCAAAATCTTGCTGTACTAGGAAGTGCTTTGTGCACCAAAGTAGGGCTGGAACGTGCTTTGTGCAAGCTTTGTAGTACAAAGTAGTACTGGGACGTCTTGTAGTACAAAGTACTACTGGGAAGTGCTTTGTGCAAGCTTAGCAACACAATGTAGTACTGGGACGTACTTTGTGCAAGGTTTGTAGTACAAAGTAGTACTGGGAAGTGCTTTGTGCAAGCTCTGTAGTACAAAGTAGTACTGGGTGCAAACTGTGTGTAGTACAGAGTAGGGCTGGGAAGTGGTTTGTGCAAGCTTTGTAGTTGAAAGTAGTACTGGGAAATAGTTTGTGCAAGCTTTGCAGTACAAAGTAGTACTGGGAAGTTCTTTGTGCAAGCTGTGTAGTACAAAGTAGTACTGGGAAGTACTTTGTGCAAGCTTTGTAGTACAAAGTAGTACTGGAACGTGCTTTGTGCAAGCTTTGTAGTACAAAGTAGTACTGGGAAGTGCTTTGTGCAAGCTTTGCAGTACAATGTAGTACTGGGACGTACTTTGTGCAAGGTTTATAGTACAAAGTAGTCCTGGGCAGTGCTTTGTGCAAGCTCTGTAGTACAAAGTAGTACTGGGAAGGACTTTGTGCAAGCTTTGTAGTACAAAGTATTTTGGGAAGTAGCTTTCGCAAGCTTTGGAATACAAAGTAATATTGGGAAATACTTTGTGCAAGCTTTGTAGTGCAAAGTAGTACTGGGAAGTACTTTTTGCAAGCTTTTTAGTACACAGTAGTACTGGGAAGTAGTTTGTGCAAGCTTTGTAGTACAATGTAGTACTGGGAAATACTTTGTGCAAGCTTTGTGGAAGCTTAGTAGTACTGGGAAGTGCTTTGTGCAAGCTTTGTACTACAAAGTATTTCGGAAAGGCTTTTGTATGTAAATGCATCTGTGTCCCAAGTGTCTGTGTGCAACAACTTTCTGCGCCCAATGGTTTTTTTGTGCAAGAGACTTCTCTCTGACAGTAGGAGCTTTCTGGCGTGCAGAACAGCTAAGATGACTTGAGACGAACTTCAAGGAGATGAGAAAGGCTGATCAGTGCTCGGATGAGATGAAAAATATTTGACAAGAACTTACTTAGATGACATATGAGAAGAGATGAGATGAGAAGAGATGAGCTGGGATAAGGTGAGAAGAGCTCAGATGAGATGAAGTGTGGAGTGTGAAGAGTGCAGTGTCAAGTGTGGGGCGTGAAGGGTGTAGTGTGAAGTGTGAAGTGTGGAGTGTGAAGAAAGCAGTGAGAAGTGAGAAGCGTGAAGTGTGGACTGTGAAGTGTGAAGTGTGGAGTGTGAAGTGCCAAGAGTGCAGTGGGAAAAGTCAAGTGTGAAGAGTGAAGTGTGAAGTGTGGAGTGCCAAGAGTGCAGTGGGAAAAGTCAAGTGTGGAGTGTGAAGTGCGAAGTGGAGCTTTAAATGTGACACGTCAAACAGCACACAACTTTCGCAGAGTGCACGCACGCACGGGCTTGGCTGGCGCACGGCGCATGCAAGGTCTATAGATGAGAAAGTTCTTATATATCCTTAAGGCAACTTCCGCCCTGCCTCGTGCGGGTACTACTGGTATGTATATTATGTTATAGATATCAGTGCAGCCTAATAGAAACTGCAGCTATGATTCCTCTACTTCGAGATGTATAAGATGGGTCCCTTGACTCTCCATCGGTCCTCTGGGCAGAAATGGATTTCCTTGCCTCAATGGTCGAAACATGGCTGCAAGTAGCAAGGGCATCTTACGCCCACAAAATTGCCCACAAATATCCACTAGTGCCATCTAATGCCAAACTAATGCCAAAAACCTGCGGGCCTCCTGGCAAAGGAGTCAGTAGTGCCACATAAATTAAGTAAACCACAAATTTCATATGCTTTTGAGATCATCACCTGCATCTGCCCAAAACAAGTTTGCTTGTAGTGGGAGCATCCCGTGATTGGGGTACATTTCAGGACCAACCCCACCTGCAGGCTCTAGACCGGAGAGCTTGTGATGATCTTGGGAACCCCGGTCCGGCAATCATCTGGTTGGGGATTGAGCCACCAGTCCCCAAGTTCATTATGGCTTTGACGCATCCCAAAAGTATATAGACTGTAGCTAATACCCATCCAGTCGAAGATGGAAAAATAAAATTACCTTCTTCGAGCGATCCCCACCCCTGATCCATTATTCTGATATAGCTTCTGACATACGATCTGAAAGTCTTTCTTTCTGGCATATACTCTGACATTCTATCTGGCATCTATTCTGATATACCTTCTGGATCGGGGTGCCAATTCAGTATGTGATAATGTGCAGCAGTTTGAGAGCGGTCTAGCTTTTGTGCATAGGGCCTCAGGCTTGAAAATGCACAAAAACAATGAGAACTGGATCTGCTATAAAATGCGTTTCCCGCAAATTCACGCCGAATTTTCATCCAAGTTCGAAGACCCTCAGAAACGCCTCTTTAAAAAGGGGTCAGGAAATTCTTCTTAGATAGAGGTATTTTAGAGTGAAGGTGCCCAAATATTGTGTTTTTCTTCTTTTATAGCATTCTATAGCAACAAAATACGGTGGCATTCTCATGTACCTTTTGTAGCATGGCCACATTCCAAGTCAGCACTTCGTGGCAATCCAAGTTCGTCAGCAATTCCAAGTCAGCAGTTCGTATAAAGGGCTGCAGTGCCAAGAGATGTCTCTCGCTGATCTAAAATGATATGCCCAATAAAATCGATATAAAGAGATCCTGGAAAGCAGTGGTTCCATTCTGCAATAAACTGCTCCAAACACTCCATTTTTGCAATAAAATTAGAATGCAATTCTAACATGTTCAAGATCATCTCCCTGGCCAATAAAATGCTCAGACCAACCCCTTAACAATAAATGGCTAGCCTGACTCCAATTTTGAAATTCCAATACATTACGGATCTCGCTTAGACTATGCGCAAGTCATCCATTTCTAGTGTGGAAACTGCAGAGGGGGTCCTTCCGGCATATATTCTGACATTCTTTCTGGGATATGTTCGGAGATTCTTTGTGGATGAGGTCCGGCGGCGGGGAACACTCTGATCCGGAGCTCGCAGTTAAGGTTCTGCGGGGAACACTTTGATCCGGAACTTGCGGTGGAGGTCCGGCGGGGAACACTGCGATCTAGCGCTTGCAGTTGAGGTCCGGCAGGGAAAATTTTGCCTCAGAGGTTGCTGTGGGGGAACGCTACGATCTTAGAGCTTGCAGATGAGGCCCGGCGGGGATCACTTTGATCGCTCGGGTCTGGCGGGGAACACTGCGATCTAGAGCTTGCAGTTGGGGTCCGGCGGGGATCACTCTGATCCAGGGGTTGCTGTTCCGGTCCGGCGGGGAACGCTGCGATCTAGACCTTGCAGTTGAGGTCCGGCGGAAGAGGAGGAGGACGAGGAGGAGGAGGCTTGGCCAGCTCTAACAACCCTCACCTGACAGGTGGGGAAAACTGATTGAAACATACATATTAAACATACGGAAACTGCGTACCAGCCGTGGTCAATGATGATCTGTCAAGGCCCCAATTGAAGCTGTGAGGCTGCTGAACTTCGACCGTGAGTGGTGGGATAAACGTAAGACAGGGGGACTTAATACAGGGGGACTTGCGAGGGCTGGTGAACACATCTGATTTGTGGATCGAATCGCAAGATCCAAGGTGCCGACAACTCGCTCCTTGATCGGCCATTCGTCAGCCCAAGCACGCAGTTGTTCGACTGGTGTCCGTCGGCGCTTCGGCCCTGGACCTGGTGGTCTCGTCAGATTATTAAGCAAATAAAACCGCCTGCTAACATGCTCACCGCTCACCCAAGTCCATGAATGAAGCCAACCGGTCTGGGTACCCCATTTGTTCAAGAAAATCCAAATGTCCTACTCACCCAAACCAACTGGGAACTTGGGCATGTGGCCCCCTTGGCCCGCAGCAACATTGAAAACTTTTACTTCAAACATTGCAGCAGAAACCACAAGCTAGAAGCTTCCACCCGCCATTGGACACAGGGGGCTACCGTTTGAGCGCCTGAGACCCAATAATATTCACCTGCTTGAGGGTTGTTCGGGTCATGTCGTACCAAATCCCAAAAACATCCAAAAACGTAACCAGTAAAGTATAACATAGTCCAGCAGTAGCGGATCCAAGGCAAAATATTCACCAACCAATAAGGCGATGTTCTAGCCGGACATGGTTTCCTTGGGGGACAGAAAAAAACATCTGCCAAATTAGGGACACCAATGTGGGAGGTAATTACTCAGTGTCAGGATGTAAACGGAACCATGCCTGATTCGTCATAATTTCGTCGCTTCTTGCATTCCTGGGGGAGGCACGCAGCTGGAACATCCAAACAATTTCTGGATCGCAAACGGACAAATACCTGGATTTCAGGTACCCCCATGCGTTGTTTTTCATGTTTTTCCTCTTTTGCTGAAAGGCAGAAGTTTCTGCCCGAAATTCTCAGCATCGCCTTGTGTCTTCAAAATTGCCTTTTGGGAAATCCTGAAACCAAAGCTGCCCTAGCCAATTATTCCACTAGACAAATATCCTGATTTACCCAAAATTATCTCAATATATTTCCACAGATTCCTTGGTGTGCCCAAACTATCCCACTACATTTCTTGGTTTTACCAGACTATACCCAGTTTTTTTCATGTGCACAAACTATCCCAATGCATTACTTGCTTGCCTTACCCAAACTATCTCGCATGATCCCAGTAGAGTTTTTTTGCACCAACTATTTCATGCTCATATATCCTCAGCTGTCACACACCGGTTTGTTGTAATTGCAAGAATTTGTTGAAATGTTTGAATCTGGCCTTGGATGGGTTTCAACTGGAATATGCTCCTCACCAGTGGGAAATCATGCATCAAAAAAACGCTTGGTTTTGGTCGGGTAAAGTCGCCCGTTCGGTATTTGTCTCTTTTGAAGGTTACACACTTCCACAAAAAGAAATTAAATGCCAGCAAAGCGAACTCAATGGCATTCCAACTAGTTTTCCCATTCTTGCTGCGGAGATCCAAATGACCATGCCTGGTTCTAATACCCTGCATTGGCCACGACCTAAAATTGTATATATATATATATATATATATGTAGATAATAATCCGTGTAAGAAAGTGTCGGCTGTGCTACTGCCCTAGTGTGGTTGCCAAACGATTCCTTTGCAGTTTGGCGAGATCTTTCAAACAGTTAAACCCAGTTTCGCCCATAGATCTGAGGGAATTTGGTGAAAAAATTGCCTTGCCTTTGGATTGGCATATTTACTGTGCCCTGAAAACAGTGAGAACTTTTTGCCACCGTCAAAGAGTGGCCCTTATTAGTGTTGCATCCTGATTAGTACATAGCTATAGGTTTGCTATTGTGACTGGAAAATTCGAAATTATTCGGAACCCATGACCGGGGCACCCCTAAGCGTTGGTGGGCGGAGGACACCACCCTTTTCCTTTTTAGCTAGGGGTTCCCTATTCCTGGAGGCGGGTTCATGATGTTTAATCTTTGTTTTTTGAATCACCCAGCTTTATGGGTGAGCTCCATGGAGTTTGAAACACAAGTGATGCCACAAGTTGGCATGAAAGATGTCAATGCAGGTTCCCATCATCCAAATAGATAACAACAAGTAGTATCCGCCAACAAGATTTCACTGATCTGTTTGGGCGTGACCTGTAATCCATGAATACAAACCAAACCCACTGAAGTGATATCACCTACAGTGACCTACAGAAAGATATATCGATGCACCTGGTACCCATGCAGCAATAATAGCTGGCATGCAACCACTTTTCCTTTCACTTCCAACTGCCATGCGGTGATTGCCACCAGCTGCAACTGATGAGTCCGTTCTCTTGCACATGGTGTCTCTTACCGATTAAACCTGGCAGCAAAATCCTGCTTCAGAAGATCTCATTATAAACCTAGATTTAAAAGTAGCAGCGCCAGGGCTACGACGCGGGCCCCGCAAAACCGCGCGCCACTGACAGACAGATGTCAAAAACCAATTTGCGCTTTATGTCCGTATCGGTATCGTGTAGATTAGCAAAACTTGAATATACTTGAATTTAAAAGTAATCATGTCAAAATTTTGTTGTAGAATCACTTTTCGACATCTGTCTATGGCGCGCGGCCATGGGTCAGGCGCCACAGAAAGATGTCCGCCACAGACAGAAAGATGTCAAAAACAAATTGGCGGCGTCTGACCCATGGCCGCACGCCGCAGACAGAAAGATGTCAAAAAATGATTCTACAGCAAAATTTTGACATGATTACTTTTAAATTCAAGTATATTCAAGTTTTGCTAATCTACACGATACCGATACGGACATAGAGCACAAATTGGTTTTTGACATCTGTCTGTCAGTGGCGCGCGGTTTTGCGGGGCCCGCGCCGTAGCCCTGGCGCTGCTATTTTTAAATCTAGGTTTATAATGAGATCTTCTGAAGCAGGATTTTGCTGCCAGGTTTATTCGGTAATGGACACCATGCGAGGAAATAGAAAGACAAAACCCTAGGGGACGCGCCGCAAAGGGTCGAAAATGACATGCGTAATAAGCATCGATTTTCATGACATGCCCCTGGTCTTGCATCCAAAACTGCATCCAAAAACATCGAAAAAAAACAACCCGCACCTAAACAAACACCCAAAAAATATGATATGTGTATATTGTTATGATGGTTTCATTGTTTGATACCGATTCTTTTGGTCACAAAGCAGTCTCGAATGTGTGAATTTTCTGGGAGCGCTTTGGGGCCACCTTATGGGAACCCCTTGAAAACAGATTTATTCCAAAAATAGGACCCCACCACAGTTTTCTTTTACGAAGTGGGTACCTCGCCCATGATTAGATTGGAAGTTTCAGTATTGTGGCCAATTTTTTTGGCAGACCTCATTCTGTCAAAAAAAATGCTATGTGAAAAATTGCTTTCTTCAAGTGATCCCCACCCTTACACACTACTCTGACATAGTTTCTGACATACCATCTGGACGGATTTTTATATTATTGCCAATTTATTGCCCATCTAGCCTGTTTTGACATTCTATCTGACATTCCTTCTGGCATTTTATTTGGCTTCTATTCTGACATTCTTTCTGGCATATTATGTGTCTGGCATATCTTCATGACATTCTTTCTGGCATTCTATCTGGTATATCTTCGGAGATTCTCTGTGCTTGAGGTCCGGCGGGGGAACACTCTGATCCGCAGCTCGCGGTGGAGGTCCGGCGGGGAACACTCTGACATGAGGTTGCTGTTAGGGTCCGGCGGGAACACTGCGATCTAGCGCTTGCAGTTAAGGTCCGGCAGGGAACACTTTGCTCCAGAGGTTGCTGTTATCTAGCGCTTGCAGTTGAGGTCCGGCGGGGAACACTCTGATCCTGAGTTTGCTGTTTGGGTCCGGCGGGGAACACTGCGATGTAGCGCTTGCAGTTGAATTCTGGCGGCGGCGGCGGAGGAGGAGGAGGAGGCGGCGCGACAGCTGACATAAAATCTATAACAACCCTCACCTGACAGGTGGGGAAGAACTGAACATTCTGTCAAAAATCTCATAAAAGAATCAGATCGCTGATTAAACCCTTATTAAAGAACAGCCTTTCCACAAATTTCCAAGGCACTGGGCCATGAGAGGGCCCAATTCACTTCAGTAGGCAGGCAGTAGGTTTGTTCCCGGGGTTCAGACTTGCAGCAAACTTTTCCAGAGCTGGTGCTGGCTGATGCTGGAGCCAAGAGAAGAAAGGAAGGCATTGTCCAAGAGCGCCTTTCCCACAAGAAACAGATCGCTTCTTAAGTCCTATTAAAGAATTGCCTTTCCACAAATTTCCAAGGCACAGTTCACTTTATAGTCAATATAGTTGGTGTGTTGCCTAGGTTCAGAATTGCAGCAAACTTTTTCCGGAGGTGATCCTGGAGCCAAGAGAAGAGAGAGAGGCCTTTTACAAAAGCAACCTTCTCTTTCTCTTTCTCTTTTCCTTTCTCTACCAGACTCTACCAGTAACTTTCTGTCTTTATCTTTCTCTTCCTCTCCCTCTCCCTCTCCCTCTTCCTCTTCTTCCTCTTTCTATTTCTCTTCCTCTTCCTCTTTCTTTCTCTCTCTCTCTCTCTCTCTCCCTCTCTCTCTCTCTCGCTCTTTCTCTTTCTCTTTCTCGCGCTCTTTCTCTTTCTCTCTTTCTCTCTTTTTCTCTTTCTCTTATTACACACCTCTAGTGAAAGGCTTGAGGTGCAAAAGGTAACGCAATCAACATGCCGAACCCTACAAGTATTAAGTATTACAAGTATTACAAGACTACAAGTACTACAAGTACTGCAAGTGCTTCAAATATCTCACAAGTTCATCAGCACAAAAATCGTTTTAATTACATTTCTATTGGCGCCAATTAACATCCTTACGTGCATGTAGGATCGTGTTTTTCTCTGGGGAACAGCTTTGCAAACTCAATTGAGCGGTGGCGAAAACCCCTATGTCAGTCTCTTATAATCTTACTTGTCTTCCGCGCAGTCTTCCGCGCTGCTTCCACCACCACAGTTGCAGCTTCCGCGGATGGTTGGTAAGTTGATTCTGCTTCCGCGGAGCTTCCGCGAAAGCCAGCTCCTCATGAAATCTACAAATTGATTTAGCATTGATGGAAATTGATTGACTTTGATTGTGGAGAATAGTGGGTGATGTTTGGTTTGTTTGTGCAAATATATATGTATATGTATACTGTATACGTATATAACCGTATATGTATATATATACTAGGCCATTTCATTACATTCAGGGGTTATTACAATACATTCAGGGGTTAGACACTTGCAATTGGTTCTCATTGTCACGTTGTCTTGGACACTGGGCAAGCAAAACCGGCATCGGTTTTGCATGTTTCCACACAATGTGCCAACAGCAGCAAATTTCATTTTTGTCTCTTGCTTTTGATGTTGTGAACACGCTATGCTCCGCTGCGCTTCCTTCGGTTCAGAGCACCACACCACCATTTTGGCAATTCAGGCCCACACTTTGACTGATAAATGATGTGGGAATGTGTGGGTACGAAAAGAGTATGCCTCAAAAAAACTATGTTTGAACACATTTCTTTTGACAACATATCCTATATAACCGATGGTGTTTGATGCCATCATGCTTTGAAAGTTCCATCACTCAGTGACTTCACCTGGCATGGCCAATCAATGATTATCCCAGAGCATGAAGGCCACCGAAGAGAGCAAAGAAAATCATCTTCAATAACAACCGTGTACCTGATCGTACCTCTAATCGAAAAGATGTTTGCACGAATTGTAAGTAGCAAAAAGAACACTCAGAAAGGAGGGCTCACAAGGTAAATCTTCAGACAATACATCTCTACCAAATCTGAATTCTTCCCTTTGGCTTTAAAGTCTAAAAAGGTCTGCAAAACAGTTGCGTGCAAAAGATTTGCACAAATTGCGCGCAGAAAAGAACAATGCACATTGCGTAATATACTACTGTTGCCGGCGCAGGCGTCGGCGCCGTCGCCGTCGCCGACGCAGGTGTCGGCGCCGTCGCTGGCGCCGACACCTGGCGCCGTCGCTGGCGCCGGTCTAGGATATTGCGCAGGAATATTACGCGAGGCTATTGCGCGAGGATATTACGCAAGAATGATATTGCGCAAAGTATTCCGCAGAGATATTACGCAAGGATATTTGCTCAAAGATATTACCCATGTTGCGCAATGATATACTGTAATGCAAGACATTGGGCGATAATTTTGGGCACCAACAGTAGCGGATCAGCTTGGATGCTAACGACAGCTTTCTCTTGTAGAGTGTAGAGCCTTGCAGCCACATGTAGCCACATTGAAATGAAAACCAGTGAGCTTTTGAACACTCTGTCGCCCCAGTGATCCTGTACCCATCGAAATCATATGCCCAGAGCAGTACGAACTGATAATTGAAAAACAAAGTTTGCAAGAAGCAAGGTTCCAAGTTCCGAGGTGATATGTTACAGAGGCACCTGTAGATACATAGTTGGCATTGGGCGCTGCTGACCTCAGGGTTCTTTCATACGAAGTGTGATCAACATATCATTTAGTCAATCAGGTTCAGTTTCGTGGCCGTGCTGCAATGGTAGTGCATGCAGAAGCCAGGCAATATCAGGCAACCATTTTTTCCCCACAGGCCACCCCAGCTGTAGGATCTAAGCGCGACCCTTCATCTCCTTCAACATTCGACACACAGTTCGAAGGTGGTTCTCCAAGAGGATGATTTTTTGGCCTTAACCAGAGTTAAGGCATCATGCATCAGCAATGACACAGTGGTGGGCACGAAAAAGAATGATATTGCAACCACATTGGCAAGGTTTCGAGCTTAAGAGCCATTCCAGCAAATTTCCACGCCTAGAGGCTCTGCTCATAGTTCTTGTGGGTAAGTCTCTCCTCTGTCTGATGAAAGATGTTTGATTTCTGTCGCTTGCTCTGCTGTTCGTGTACTTGAAGACGTCACCAAGCGCGATGTGGCTGACATGATCATGCTTCATCACCACGCAGTGAATCTCGACACAGAGACAGGCAAGGCATCTGGAAATGTTGGAGTTAAAGGGGGTGATGGCTTGGGCTAAGCCCAAAGGACGATGGTTTCACCCGGACCCTCACCACCTGTGATGTGTCCTTCAACAAAATATCCTGGCAGAATGTCTGCAGGATTTTCTGGCAGAATATCTGCGCGATATTCTGGCAGAATGTTTGTGTGATATTCTGGCAGAACATCTGGCTGTGGTATTGGGGCATAATATCGCTGATATTCTGGTACGGCATATATGACCTGGCAGACTTTATTGTGATCACAGGTTGATATAAAATAATATGTGTCTAGGACCCAGTGCAGATTCTCAAACGGGTGGCCAAGACAATCTGTCATCGTCCTTTTGGGGCCCGAACAACAAAGTTTCAAAGGGTGATGGTCCGGGTCAGAACGTCGTCCCCTGACAGGAGGTGTTTTACGACAGTGAGGTGTTTTACAATCATGCAACCCCCAAAACCTGGTATCCCCATAGCCCGCAGGAATGCCACACAGCAATTTGTGGTCAACATCAGGTCCTGGGATATTTTGGGCAAGTCTTACGCATGGTTTTCGGGCCCCAGGGGGTGATGGTCCGGGTGGGAACATCGTCCTTTGAAATTTCTATTTATGAGCAGCCAGGGGGTGACAACAGAATGTCCCGCAAGACATTCACAGCGCTTTCAAGCAAAACTGTTTAAAAGTCAGTCGATCACAATGTAGTCCGCCAGGTCATGTATACCAGAATATCAGCGATATTATGCCCCAATACCACAGCCAGATGTTCTGCCAGAATATCACACAAACATTCTGCCAGAATATCGCGCAGATATTCTGCCAGAAAATCCTGCAGACATTCTGCCAGGATATTTTGTTGACGGACACATCACAGGGGGTGAGGGTCCGGGTGAAACCATCGTCCTTTGGGCTAGGCCCAAGCCATCACCCCCTTTAACTCCAACATTTCCAGATGCCTTGCCTGTCTCTGTGTCGAGATTCACTGCGTGGTGATGAAGCATGATCATGTCAGCCACATCGCGCTTGGTGACGTCTTCAAGTACACGAACAGCAGAGCAAGCGACAGAAATCAAACATCCTTCATCAGACAGAGGAGAAACTTACCCACAAGAACTATGAGCAGAGCCTCTAGGCGTGGAAATTTGCTGGAATGGCTCTTAAGCTCGAAACCTTGCCAATGTGGTTGCAATATCATTCTTTTTCGTGCCCACCACTGTGTCATTGCTGATGCATGATGCCTTAACTCTGGTTAAGGCCAAAAAATCATCCTCTTGGAGAACCACCTTCGAACTGTGTGTCGAATGTTGAAGGAGATGAAGGGTCGCGCTTAGATCCTACAGCTGGGGTGGCCTGTGGGGAAAAAATGGTTGCCTGATATTGCCTGGCTTCTGCATGCACTACCATTGCAGCACGGCCACGAAACTGAACCTGATTGACTAAATGATATGTTGATCACACTTCGTATGAAAGAACCCTGAGGTCAGCAGCGCCCAATGCCAACTATGTATCTACAGGTGCCTCTGTAACATATCACCTCGGAACTTGGAACCTTGCTTCTTGCAAACTTTGTTTTTCAATTATCAGTTCGTACTGCTCTGGGCATATGATTTCGATGGGTACAGGATCACTGGGGCGACAGAGTGTTCAAAAGCTCACTGGTTTTCATTTCAATGTGGCTACCTGTGGCTGCAAGGCTCTACACTCTACAAGAGAAAGCTGTCGTTAGCATCCAAGCTGATCCGCTACTGTTGGTGCCCAAAATTATCGTCCAATATCTTGCATTACAGTATATCATTGCGCAACATGGGTAATATCTTTGGGCAAATATCCTTGCGTAATATCTCTGCGGAATACTTTGCGCAATATCTTTCTTGCGTAATATCCTCGCGCAATAGCCTCGCGTAATATTCCTGCGCAATATCCTAGACCAGCGCCAGCGACGGCGCCAGCGACGGCGCCGACACCTGCGTCGGCGCCAGCGTCGGCGACGGCGACGGCGCCGACGCCTGCGCCGGCAACAGTAGTATATTACGCAATGTGCATTGTTCTTTTCTGCGCGCAATCTGTGCAAATCTTTTGCACGCAACTGTTTTGCAGACCTTTTTAGACTTTAAAGCCAAAGGGAAGAATTCAGATTTGGTAGAGATGTATTGTCTGAAGATTTACCTTGTGAGCCCTCCTTTCTGAGTGTTCTTTTTGCTACTTACAATTCGTGCAAACATCTTTTCGATTAGAGGTACGATCAGGTACACGATTGTTATTGAAGATGATTTTCTTTGCTCTCTTCGGTGGCCTTCATGCTCTGGGATAATCATTGATTGGCCATGCCAGGTGAAGTCACTGAGTGATGGAACTTTCAAAGCATGATGGCATCAACACCATCGGTTATATAGGATATGTTGTCAAAAGAAATGTGTTCAAACATAGTTTTTTTGAGGCATACTCTTTTCGTACTCACACATTCCCACATCATTTGTCAGTCAAAGTGTGGGCCTGAATTGCCAAAATGGTGGTGTGGTGCTCTGAACCGAAGGAAGCGCAGCGGAGCATAGCGTGTTCACAACATCAAAAGCAAGAGACAAAAATGAAATTTGCTGCTGGTGTTTGCTGCACATTGTGTCGAAGCATGCAAAACCGATGCCACTTTTGCTTGCCCAGTGTCCAAGACAACGCGATAATGAGAACCAATTGCAATTGTCTAACCCCTGAATGTATTGTAATAACCCCTGAATGTAATGAAATGGCCTTAATATATATATATATATTATATATATAAGTCTAATACGGTATTCAAATCGTCTTCCGCGGCCCTTCCGCGATCGGACGATCAGCGTCTGCTTCCGCAAGCCCTTCCGCGGACGTGGGTTTCATTTCCGCGGGCCCAACTTAGTTTTATCCCCAAGTAACTTTCTTGCTTGGAGGTTTTTGACGCCGCTCAATTGGAAAGAGGGTATAGCATTCACTTGAGGGGTGGTTACACACAAATCAGGACGGAACATTATACCTGAAAGCACAAAAGTCACCCGCGGTCGGGTAAAGCCGCCTTGACCACAAAAGGCAACTTGATTCAAAGGCAAGAATTAGGCACATTGGGGAAAATGTAGGTATGTCATGGTATGTCCATGTCCCATTCAATGACCTGTCTTCCTGTCTTCCTCTCTGGATCATCGAATTCCGCGCCTCCTGTAGAACAGGCAGGACTTCGGCGGGGGCGGCACTTATGCAGGTATGGTGCCAGTTGTTGACCACCTCAGTGAGAGCACCCAGGTCGTTGCCAGCTTTGGGGGTGAATTCTGGTTGCTGTCCGCATTCGCCCGATTTTGCCCAGGCACTTCCAAAAGTGCCCCGCCTTCCAGCAGCGCCTTTACCGCAGCGATGCGTTTGTTGAGGACGGCAAAGAACATCCTCAGACGCGCAGGCATCGCCCTCTTGCACGTCATATTATGTCATGGGTTCCAACTGATGTTCATCAGGAATGTCAAACATCCTTTCGAACGGATGTTTTTGGGGGTATGAAAGTTTGGGTCTGAAATGAGCAAGCAAACAGCAAACCTAACGATTGCTCAAGATGCTTACACATCGTCACAGCAAACCTATTCTTGCCCTGCGCTCCAGCAGCCCAGTTGCGCCGTGTCCCCATTCTTGTCCACCACGTTCGGGTCGGCACCTTTACTGATTAGGTACCTGATAGCAAGGTTGGGCCAGGCAAAACGGATTCCTGAGTCACATCGAGCAAAACCAAAAGTACCTGGTGATTGAAATCGTTTGGGCACGTTTTAACAAGTTGGCCGCATGCGTTGCTGAGAGAGCTGTCCATAAAGGTGTATTTAAAACTATAAACGTTTGCCCGGGTAATTGAACGTCTTGAAAATTTGTTTGGACTGACCCCGCCTGATGGTAGTCGCATGTCCCTGACGCGCAGCGTAAAAGAGGGCGGTTTGATCTAACTCCTTGGTGCCCGGATAGCCGGAGACGAAGACAAAGCGATCGCATGCAACAGCAGCAGCTGACGAAGCCACGTGCAAGGGACGAAAGCCAGCTGGGCGGATATTTTTTCACTAGAATCTTTACATAAACTTGCAAATTGCAAGAAAAGACAATGATATTGACCAAAAAAGGCAACGGCGTTCAAACTTGATGGTGAAAGATGAGAAACATTCATGACGGTGCAAGTGATGGTGATGGTGATGGAAATTGTGACGATGAGATGATGACCATACAAATCATTATGGTCATGATGGGCATGATGGTGATGATGGTCATGGTGGCGGCCGTGGCGGCGATGAAGAGGAGGAGGAGCGTGAGAGGGGGGGCGGGGGAAGAGGAGGAAAAGGAGACAAAGGACGCAAAAAAACTGAAGAGGAAGAGGAAAAGAAGAGGCTGACCTTTTTTGACTGATTGCTTGATTGATGGATTGACAGATTGATTGATTGATTGATTGAATGATTGATTGATTGACTGATTGATTGATTGGTTGATATATGGAAAATTGATATATGGGTATATATTGGGATATATTGATATATATAATGGCAAATTGGTATACTGACACCGATCTTCATAGGATCCCCCCCAGACCCCTCTTATGTGACCCCCTTCGGGGGGAAACCATGTAAAACCATGTAAAACCATGGAACAGCAACAATGGGGAATACATAACTTTCTCAGCATCCAGGTTAACAAGTGAGCCGCGCCAAAAACCCTCTCCTTTGCCATGTCGCTTGGATATGCTTACGCTGGGGCTTGCGCACTGCTTACGCGCACACAGTTTTATCTTACGCCTTACGCGACAACAATGAGAAAAAACTAGCTTACGCGGAGCTTACGCACGGGGAAATCTCGAAAATATGATACCTCACCACAGGTTTTGCTTACGCCACCGCTTGTTTTCACCGTCAAACATGTTTGCAGCATCAGCGTTGTGAGGATGAAGGTCGAAGAAGAGGAAGAAGAGCTACGCGCATTCCCAGAAGGTCTTCCCAGAGTTGCTTGACGTCGGCGGCGCTTGGCAGCCATACGGCTCAAATTGCGTGCCTTTGCAGATAGCTTCTCCTCAATGCTTCGCTTTGGGTTGGGCATAGCTCCAATTTGGTGGTCTTTCTGGGTCGCAAATTTTCGCGTGAGGTCAGTTTTGTCGCCGGCTTTTGGACCTTCGAGTTCCCAAGAGCGAGGCTTGTCATAGAAACCGCGGCGCCAAGATTCAGGTTCCTGAGAAACTGTCTCTTCCACAGACCATGACCCCAAAGCTTGGTCAGCAACCAGATCGCTGAAAACATTGTTGCAGATAGTGACACCACTGGCAGCAAAGCGATTGACGCGCGCAGAAAGGCTGTAGGTGCGACTAATTTTCAAAGATGAGCAGACCAAAGCAAAGCGAGAAGATGGACGGACTTGACCAGGATCAAAGATTCGGACGAGAAATTTTGCTCCAGCTGGGTCTTGTTGCATCATGTTCGCACTGCCGGCCTGATAAGCGGAAACCAAATTGTCGATCCCGTGCACAGGATGTTGCTGCAGGTAAGCTTGCACCCATGTATTGCACCAACCAAAAAGACGATCGCATGCTCCTTTTCCGTGTTGTTCTCCGAGGTACAAAATGTGAACTTTGACTTGAAGTTTGCGAACTAGAGTGTACAAGTAGTGGGCGGCGCTCTCGTACGATCTAAAGTGGGGACCGCAATCCGAAACCAACCAGATGGTGTCGATACGAGACCATGCAACTACTTGCCGATGTTTAACTGTTACCTGGTTACCCTCCAGCGTCTTATTAAATTATTGTGGCGATTTTTTCTAACTTGTTTTGAAGCGAATTCTTGAAGCAAATTCACGAACCAGGCTCTCAGGCCATAGTATCATCTATATACTAATATATATATATATACCGGTATCGCAGAATCACTGGGAATTAAAGGGGTTTCCTCCCAAGAGTTGTACTTGGGGTTGGAGCTCTCTAGATATGTTCCGAGGATCTACCAGTTAAATGGGCCCATCGTGATACCATCCATTGTGCCAGTAAGCGTCAAGACTCGTAAAGACAGCGCCTAGCCAGCACAGTTTCAGTAGGTCACACATGGTTGTTCAAACGGATGTGGATGTGTAGAAGTGCAACATGTACACAAGCCAAGTTTGTATATATATATATGATATACAATATGTATAGTATAATCCAACATAATCCGTATAATCCAGAGTTATATTTACAGTATATATATAAATATATATATATATATACACGTTTCATGCATCATATACACGTACAATCACGTACATATGTGCAGTTCAAATGGCTTTTCTACACCCAGGTACTGCGTAAATCATTGTATCATTCTGACCCTGACTTGGTTGTTTGAAGGATTGATATGGGATACTGACTTGACTTACTCGCTTCTGAAACAACAGCGGACCCCGGGTAGTGACAGTACGAAACCTACTCTCCCACTACCCAACCCTGCCCAAGGGCAGCATCGGGGAAGACGAGCGTCATTTGATTTAGCCGCAGTGCGAACGCAGCGTTCGGACTCCAGCTATGACAAAAGACACTATCCCTACTCGACCCTGCCCAAGGGCAGCCTCGGATTAAGAGAGTACGAAACCTGGACTCCCACTACCCAGGGTCAATCAGTACAGGGGCAGACCCGGGTAAGGCCCCGCGACGTTTAACCGTTACCGACGTTTAAGCCCTGGGACCCTGAGCATTTTTCTCATTCACATTGCGGCAGTGGTCATCACACTTGAAGCGGCTCAGCTAATTTTAAATCAATCTTCTCAATGTGCTTCGCCCACAAGTTGTCACTCAGCTGGTAGCATCTGTCTGATGGACAAAGCAGCCACCAGTTCTGTGACGACGTTAGTGTTGCTAACCCTGCCGAGTGGAGTAACCGTCTCAGCATTGTTTGCGGCACATTGACGTTCATGGCGTCCCTGACGGCCTCTTCGAATGAGCGCTTCGGAAGCGACAAGTTGTTGCTTTCCCGAAGCATTGCCGTGATGATAGTCTTGGGTAGGCCCTGTAGCCTCCCGATTTCCATAGAAGTGAGTCGTCGGCGAAGCTTTGGACAGTAATATCCGTCCTGCTTGCAACGAATCTTTGTCAGGCATGGACATGCGTTGTGCAAGACACTCTGAAACCTTTTAGAAGCTGCCACGTCTAGGACATAGCCTCTGGTCCACAGGTCTTGACTGAGAATCTGCTCGTACTTAGGCAGCGTCAACACCTGATAACCCCAGTTCCAAGGCATAAGCCTAAGCATGTCAGGGTAACCAGGTAACAGTTAAACATCGGCAAGACTAGCTCATGTTCCCGAAGAAGTCCTAGGACTTTGTTGAGGAGCATGTTTGCGATTTGAGCGTCGTGGTCTAAAATTTCCGAGATCAAAAGGATATACAGTTCGATGTGTCCGCCGGCTGTGGAAGGGGCAAGAACGCTGGCGCCGTAAACTGTTAATGAAAGTTTGTTTTGGGCATGCCACTCCTCCGATGACTCTTCGCGACCTAAAGCGGCTCAAAGATTGCACAAAAAACGAGTACGCTGAAGCAGGAAAGGGGGTTGGTCACAAACAAAAATCCATCATTTAGAAGAGAAACTCAAAGGACAACGCACGTTCTCTTTGAAATCAAACTGGACTAGCAAAGCATCCTCTCCCAAGGCGCCGCTGCGTAACTCCATCATTTTGTTTTCTTGCCGCCGTGCAGATATTTGATGCCAGCGATACGCCTCTATGAGCTCACTAGGTCAGAAGTTAAACCGTTTTAGGCAAACTGCCTCAGGCCAAACAGCCCCTTAAAGTAGTGCAAGAAAGCTGCAGCGAGCTTGGTGTGATCATTGTCATCCAATCCATGCTGGGCAAGTGCAGCCTTTTTGGTGTTTCTGACTTGTTTCTGACGTGTTTCTGACCTTTCCCGGAGTCTTCTTCAACTTCAGAAAAAAACAGCAGGGGCAGCAAGACTAGGAACAGTTTTACTATAATAGACAAGAGTACTAGTATTAGTAGTACTAGTACTACTACTAGTACTAGCATTAGCATTACCAGTAGTAGTAGTAGCAGTAGCAATAGCAGTAGCAGTAGCAGTAATAGTAGTAGTAGGAGGAGGAGGAGTAGTAGTCGTAGTACTAGTAGTAGTCGTAGTAGTCGTAGTAGTCGTAGTACTAGTAGTAGTAGTAGTAGTAGTAGTGGTAGTGGTAGTGGTAGTGGTAGTAGTAGTAGTAGTACTCGTCCTAGTAGTCATAGTCGTAGTCGTAGTCGTAGTCGTAGTAGTAGTAGTAGTTGTTGTTGTTGTAGTAGTAGTAGTAGTCGTCGTAGTAGTAGTCGTAGTAGTCGTAGTAGTAGTCGTAGTAGTAGTCGTAGTAGGTAGTAGTAGTAGGTAGTAGGTAGTAGGTAGTAGGTAGTAGGTAGTAGGTAGTAGGTAGTAGGTAGTAGGTAGTAGGTAGTAGGTAGTAGGGAGTAGGGAGTAGGTAGTAGGTAGTAGGTAGTAGGTGTAGTAGTAGTAGTAGTAGTAGTAGTAGTAGGTAGTAGGTAGTAGGTAGTAGGTAGTAGGTAGTAGGTAGTAGGTAGTAGGTAGTAGGTAGTAGGTAGTAGGTAGTAGGTAGTAGTAGTAGTAGTAGGAGTAGCAGTAGCAGTAGCAGTAGCAGTAGCAATG